CATCACATCAGAAGGCTCAAACATGAAGGTATATGGTGAACGGTTAGGAGTGCAACACACTGAATCCTGCAAAGAAATGTTAGAAAATATAAAATGTTAGACCTGGGATTCGAACCCAGACACTCTCCTTCATACATACGAGCCTTTACTAATTGAGCTGCTTTACAATTCATGTGTTATAACCAAAGCATTACATTATATGTGAAATAAAGTTAAATATATCTAAACAAATTTAAAAAAATGCGCATGGATTTGAACTAGCCTATGGGAGAGAAACAGGTATTGCACCGGAGTCAACAAGTCAATGGTGCCGGAGTCAAACTCCGGTCACCATCTACGGCCGATTCAAAATTCGCCCCTACAAAACAAGCAAACTAAAGCAAAACCATGAGTCATATCCTTCATAAAATCATGCGCCAATTTCAAATATGGCCTTAGATTGACCTACAAACCCCTCTATTGAGAGCTTGAACCCTAACAGCCATGGATGCCCTAACAATGGCATCCATCGTTCTAGGTCCCAAACCTCTCATACGAAGCGTCTATCCTACCCTAGTGAAGGTCCAAGGAAACAGTGAATTGGTTGGGTGTGTTCTGGGCGTGGATAAGGAGCTATACATGCTCCTAGGAGGCTCAGGAGGTTGATGGAGGGCTTAGATTGGATTGAAACGGGCTGGAAGTGTCTGTTTGAATTTTGACAACTTTTCTATTTTTTGGCAAACTTTCGTGTGACTCTAGGCTGTGTATCCGTTTTTTAGGCTTGCAAATGCCACCTTTATATAGAGCAGATGGAGGGGACAAGGTAGGAGGGAAATAAGCATGCTCAATAATGTTCTTTAAGAGCCATAAACAAATATTTGAAACTTGGACAAAGGTATGGAAATCCTGTCTCTTTTTTGAATTTGAATGAATGTGGGCACAAATGGCTTTCGAATGCCTTCAGTCCCTGCTCTTCAATTGGACCTCTTGTATATCCTTCGAATGGGTCTTTTTAATGTCTTTCGAATAGTCCATACATATGCCTTTTTCCCTCTTCGAATGGGCCACCAAGGTATGTCCTTCGAATGGCTCAAGTCTCATCATTGGGGCCTCTTTGATTGAGCCCATACTCAGCTAGCTGCTTGATTCAAACAACTCAAATGAAAACTTCAATCTGGCCAATCGAAAAATTTCTTTGTTACCACCTTCGAGTGCCATTGCATAAGAGGCCTGGGCCTAGCTACATGTAGGACCAAGTCCCATCATAAATCAAAAAAAATTTCAATAATCATGTGTCCTTCAAATGGACCAATGAATGCTTCTTTGAAGGGACCATATGAATGCGCCTTCGAAGGGGCTATCATGCCTGTTAAAGTGTGTACAACTATTTCAAAGGGGACCATTGCCTAGTCAAAGCTGGCACAAAGACAGCTCATTCCTTGTGGATGCTAGCATGAGGCAAGTCAAAGAAAGCGTAAAAGAGGCCATTACCTAGGCGAAGCTGGCACAAAGGTAGCCAATGCCTTGTGGGTCAAAGGAAGCTTTTTGCCTGGTGGATCGAAGGCAAATCGGAAGGAGTCTTGGCCTTGTGTGCTGAAGGCAAGTTGAAGAGGGGGCCTTTGCCTTGTGAATCAAAGACTAATGAGAGGGTCCTTTTTCCTTGTAGATCAAAGGCAAGCTGATGGGTATTTGTATTATGAAACCAAGGCAAGCATGAAGAAGCTTTTTGCCGAATAGACCAAAAACAAGCATGAAGAGTCATATGTGTGTTGATGACAAGCTGAAGGGGCCTTTTTCCCAGTTGGAGCTTTTTGAACTAAGCTTGATCGAAGGATACTCAGTACCTAATCGAATCTAGTATGTAGGAGTTCACTGTTGGTGAATTGAAACAAACTTGTAGGGGATTCTTGCTTTGTGCGCTGAAGGCATGCACAGATGGAGTATTTTCCTAGTACGCTGAATGAAAGTTGAAGAGGGGGTATGTGCCTTATACGTTGAAGGAAAGCACATAGAGGGCCCTGCTGGAATGATACTTGTGGACTAAAGCTTGCTCAAATAGGTCTTTAGATGTCCAATCGAAGCTTGTCCGCAGGGGACTACTATTTTGTGAATCGAAGCAGGCATGGAGGAATTTCTTGCCTTGTGAATCAAAGCCAAGCCTGAAGCAACCAAATGCACAGTCAAAGCCTTGTGATTTGAACTTGATCGAAGGGGACCCAACACCCAATCGAAGCTTGTGAATCAGGCTTGCGTCAAAGGAAGTTCAGCGTCCAATCGAAGCTTGCTCAGATGCCAATCAAAGTGCCCTGTTCAGATGCCAATCGAAGGACATTGTTGAATTACCAATCGAAAGACACTTTGCTAACATTAAAAAAATTTCATTTTCTTTAGTCAAGTGTTTGTAACCACCCATGTAAGATAAAAAACCTTGGGAAACATGAGAGGGAAAATTTTGGGGTACAACAATGCTGCTTTGATGTTCTTTGAATCGATGATGGTCTTCGACTAACTACACCAATACAAAAAAGTCTTAACCAACTTTCTAGTAAGCACACTAACATTGAAAATGCATAGAGTTGAGAATAAAATCACGATACCAATCCTCAAATGAAAATAAAATCAAAGAACTTATTTTGTTACACAATTTAAGAATCGGAACATGGAAAATTGATTTCAACACATGATTTATTCAATTAAACAAACACGGGGCAGAAACTATAACAAGTTATGAATGCTCGATAGTTTCAACTCAAGAAGATTCAAAACAAAATGGGAAATCACTCGATGTCACAACCATGCAAACTTTTGAATTTAAATCAAATTACACAATAAAGTTATCTGAATCTCAAAGCAACGGTAAAAGATGAATTGCTGCCCCATGAATGGTTCTCGACTATATCTTATGCGAATAACGCGGCATAGACACCAAGAGCTTAAATTAACAACTTATGTGAATATTGCTTTAACTTTACATTATCATCAAACAATCACTTATATTATCAACTTTACACCATCAACTATATGAGTTATTTCTATTTCATTTTCAATTATATGTGAAGTGCTTTCAATTTCAACACTATAAGTGTTATTACGACAACCTCTCAAACTAAAATGTATAGCTCGATTAATTGTATAGAAACATATTTTCTCTCATTCAATACATGCAATATTCATTATGATATTTACACAAACACCTTACATGCAAAACTCATTGTGACATTTTCACAAACACCTTATGCCACACAAAGCACAACATATACATTATCATCACTAAATCAACACTATCAACTAAACCAAATGCGACATTATATATCAACATTATCAAATATATCAAAAATAATACCTAGAGGAGAAGAGAACCTTGGTTGTGAATGGAAGAAAGGATGAAATGGTCTTGAATGGAAGAAGGATGAGAACCTTGAATGATGTGGAACAAATAGGAGAGACTATCATTTAGATGGAAACAAAAAAATAGAACTTCAGGCATTGAATGGTCTTGGGCGAGAGCGAAGATGAAAATGTTAATGTTACTGTGTGTTTGGGCGTGTTTTATTTTTTTTAATAACAGGACTTTAGCCAGCGCTTTTGTGAAGTGCTGTCTAATGTGGGCCTTTAGCAACACTTTCTCTTTCTTTAGCAACGCTTTTTAATATGGGCCTTTAGCAACGTTTCATACGTAGGCCTTTAGCAGCGCTTTTAAGAAGCGATGCCTAAGGTGGGCCTTTTAGCAGCGCTTTAGCGCTTCTTACGTAGGCCTTTAGCAGCGCTTTTAAGAAGCGTTGTCTAAGGTGGGCCTTTTAGAAGCGCTTTGAAGAAGCGCTTTCTTATATAGGCCTTTAACAACACTTCATTCGTGGGCCTTTAGCAGCGCTTCTAAGAAGCGTTGTCTAATGTGGGCCTTTGGAGATACGCTTTCAAAGGTGGGCCTTTTAGCACTGCTTTGGAAAGCGTTGTCTAAAGTGGGTCTTTAGCAGCGCTTTTGTATAATTTTATTAATACTTTCCGTGTTTTATTTTTTATTTAACTTATAGCAGTGCTTTTGGAATAAAGTGTTGTCTAAGGTGCGCTGCCTAAAACCCTTTTTGGCGTAGTGCTAGGCCTCATTATGAAGATTCAAGCCATGAGGAATCCATTCTTCCAAGATTAAGAATCTATCAGTACGGCTCATAAAATCACCTCTAGATTTGACCTAGTTAAATCATCCTATTAGAAGTAAATCAACCGCCTCTGATCTAATTATGAATTCATCAAATTGTCTCATTTCAGTCTGACGATGGAAAGTCGAAAGTGATTTTCTTTCTTGTTCGTTTTTGATGAAGCTGAAGTCTCCCACTAAACACCATCTCTTAATGTTGCTCTAAAGACTGTAATAACTCTTCCCAAATACCTTTATCATAATTAATTATTTATATAATTAAATTAATCATATTTTTATATGTTGCAGGTGTAAGAAAAAAAGTATTTAAATATCATTATCTTGATTTTAAATTGTGGATGCAGGTACAATTGCGATGGTTAGTGTTGCAATTGTGTTCATTGTGGAGGTTGTATCATAAACTTTGATAGAGAAGTATTTGAAATAATCATTAAAATAAATGATATCTAATGTAATTTTTAAAGTCAGTGCACTCATAGTTTTAAGTCCCACCTTAATTACAGTCTGATACGATTGCAAAGTTATCACATCAGTATTATTGCAGTTGCAATTGCACTTGCAAACCACAATTTATTAACATGATTATTAATGGAGGAATTGAAGTAATAAGAATGAAATAGAAATGACCATACACAATATCATAGTTGCAATAACCAAAATAGTTTACAATTACATTACTATTTAAGAAAATGAAACCATCACTCTAATAAAAGCACATTTGGAAAAAAGGGGAAAAAAGGAAATACTCTAAACTCTATCATTTCCTTCTTATTATATAAGTCACTTGTAGAGAAATTGAACAATCAAAGTCTCCAACAATACAAATCAACCATTATGAACAATACATCACTAGCTTTTTTTCCTTCTAAACTTTCTCAATTGGAAGCCAAGATATTTGCATCAACCTGTTCCAAATCTCTTCCTTACTGATTTCAGCAATTTCTTCCAAAGGCTTGTAAGTATAAAACCAAAGACAAATTCCAAAGTAAATGAGATTAAGAACTTGAACACAACTAACAAGATAATAATAATACTCCAATCTACCCCTATTAGGGTTCCTATCAGGTAACCAATTCCTTTCTTTGCCACTATATTTAGGAACAAGTGTCACTATAAATGTACCAGCATAGCTTCCAATAGCTATAATTACACAATATATAGCAGTAGCACTACTTCTCATACTCTTAGGTGTTTGATCAAATAGAAACTCAAAAAGTCCAACAGACATGAAAACATCAGCAAGTCTGTGAAAGCAATACTGAGGCACCAACCAAAACACACTTATAGGAATAATCGCTTTCGGATCATCCAATAAGTTGTACTTAGCAGCAACTTCTTTTCTTTTGATTTCAACAGGTGCTGAGATTAATCAATAGCTTAATCTCAATTTTCCTGCAACAACAATATGCATGTGAATCAAGTCAAAATACGATATGTGTTTACGCATTATCAGCGATCACTCAAGAATAGAGTTTCCTTTCCACTTCCCATTATTATATTTACATTCCCCTCGACCCAATTTTGATTACTCACCTCCCACTAACTCTACTTTCTCAATGTATTTGATCCAAATAGATGCATTATTTCCCTGCATCTTAACTTTCCTATCTCCTACCCTATATTTGTGTTTAATGATTTTATACAAAAGACTTTTTTCTCTACCCTCATCCTCCAAACCTACTTACCCAAAAGAGGCACATTAAGAGTCTGAATATTCTTTATACCTAGACATTTATTCTATCTCTCCATACATATTATGTCCCATTTAACCCAATTTACTTTTTTATTATCCTCATGCCCTCCCCAGGGAAAACATTTAAAAAGAGATTCGAGTTTATGAATAATACTTTGTTAATTCCATATTATTTGGATTAGTATTATGTTTGGTAAAACTAATATAGAAACAATAGGTTAAATAGGATTTGTAAATTGTAGGAGAAAGAAGGTTGAAGTTATATTTGATGAAGAAACATGTTGAGATGAGATGTCTCATCATCTGGAACAACATGTCGAAAAATATGTCCTATGCAGATTTGATACGACATCGTGACTGGTACAGCTAGATTAATCATTTTTGTTATGATTTAACAGATGCAAAATATTATTGGAATATTATGCAATCATATGTAGAGCTGTCTTATTAGGTCCGGAAGATTCAAGTCAGAATCAAGAAGAATATTAACTTTCTAATTTTGGAGATTAATTAGGAAGATTTGATTGAAGACCTATTTTGTAGCAGAATCTTCTGCAGATTTGTAAAAACATATTTGATGTGATTAGAAGCCAAATTCAGTTGGGTGCTAGGTTTTAAATAGAAGCATTTTAACCTAGGATTAAGTACCATCCGTGAATTATCAAGATTTAGTCATTAGGGATGAGTCTGTAGCCACTCTCTAGGAGAATTGGTGCAAGTGAACCACTCGGGTTGTGAGATGGTCACTTTGTTCTCCTCAAAGTTGTGAAGCAAGAATGAGTATTATTCTTTGAGGAAGCTTTTAAGAAACTCCAAGTTGGTGTTCTTAGTAAAGATTCTTGGCTGAGTTTAGAGGGAAGTGTGTCTTCTTTCTCGTCATAGAAGTGATTCTTCTCATCATTGAAGTGTGTCTTCTTGTTTTTCTAAGTGTCTTAGAATTATCCAATTGTTGTTTTTGATTGATGATGGATTAAGGAGGGCCTCATATCTAGGTGAGTATTAGATAGAAATCTAGCGAGGGTAGTGATTAAGTGATTAGACTGTAAACTGGTATGTTTGTTGTAGGGTCTATGAATTGATACTACTATTAGTGGATTTGTCTCTGGCTTGGTATGCCCTTAGAGTAGGAAGGTTATTCTAAATTGGGTTAACAATTCTATGTGCACTTTACTTTTCAGTATCTCTTTTTAATTGTTTATTCCTTGTCATGTTTTTTGTGACAAACCAGGTGTCTTGACATCTTATAGGACATTTGGTTCTGCTATACCAAAATTTCAATTGGTATCAGAGCAGAAATCTTGTTATGTCTCTGGATGAGATCCTGGGAAGATAATTTCTGGTCATGTGAAAGGTAGGAGGTTATACTGAAAAGTTGTTTGAACCTGGTCAGTTCATATTTGTAAAAATGGTCCCTTGAAGTGGAGGATGAATTATTCGTGATAGGGTGTGTGGTGATCCTGTTTTGAAGCTGTCAGGTGAGCAACCATGGTGGTGAACTGCTATGAGGTTTGATTTAGTTTCAAACTTATGTTGTTCCTGAATCTTGGTTAGGGAGTTTTCCGTTTATTCCGCTATATTTGGTGGAAAACTCCTGGTGGTTGTGTGTGCTTCCTCTCTTAAGGTGTATCCTACGGTGTTGTGATACATGGAGGATACTCTCGACCAACTTGTTAAAGTTGCCAAATGTTGTACCACAAAATTTTCCCTCCCATATTCTTCAAGATTTGCAAAGAACATGCTTCAAAATCCTCCCAAAGGGTTGCACAGTTCAAGGGCCTCCTGACAGTCAAAAACTAGGGTTTTGGTTCTGTCAAAGAAATTGAAGTTTTCAAGGGTCCAATCAAGTCCCACATGCTTACAAACATGGTCAAGCATCCATATGCCAAGTTTCAAGACTTACAACACAAAATTGCACAGTCAAAAACCCTAATTGCTCAGCAGTCAACTGTAGGGGTAAAATGGTCATTTGACAGTCAAAAGTTCAAATTTTTGGTCAACATCTTATTTTGAAGCCACAAACATCATTTGATAAATTCTTGATCATGATTTTCAAGGCATGGCTCAAAAAGTCTCAAGATGCAAAAGTTTCCATATTTGGACAGTTGAAAAAGTCAACTGTAACTTGACCAAGGCATAACTTCCACATGGTTCATAAGAAAAATTCCATCCAAAGCTCATTTTGAAGATAATTACATTTCCTACAACTCCTCTTCACACTTCAAGTCCAAGAAATGCTCTCACAAAAAGTTATCAATCTCAACATTATAGGTCTTTTCAAAAGTCAACAAAAAGGGACTTTAAGTCAAAGACCATAACTTGAGATTGGTAAATCAAAATGACATGGGACCAAAGGCATTGGTTAGAGGACTTCAATACCTTTCCAAAATGTCCAAGAACATGATCAAAGCTTAAAAATTGAGCAAGATATGCCTTGTGGAAGTTGGGAAATTTTTGGGAATTTTGAAAAGTCAACTTTGCTTCAAATGCCTCAAAATTACTAATGGGCCACATTTTCTTCCAAGAATCATCATCCAAAAGCTATGCACGACCATTTGACCCAAAGGGGATTTATTTCATCATTTTTTATTATTTATTTGAATTTTTATCACCATTAATTCATTTAATTAAATAAAATATGACAAAAATACTCAAGCATGCATTTTAAATCTTTTTATGCAGCTAATAGGTCTATCATAACTCCAAGATTTCGTGCACACTCAATATGGAAAGATTTGGCTATGATTGGTATCAAAAGGGCATGAAAAAGATTGAAAAAGATTGAAAAGATTTCATTAAAAATCAAATATTTGATTCATCAAAACATTGATTTCTTGGCTTGAATTTTCACCCTAAAACATTCCCATACATAAACAGAAGGCAACCCTAATGCATAGAACCTGAAAGCTGCGCCTGAAACCAAATACCAACTTTGCATTTTTGTCCAAAAGTTCAAAACTGAAAACACAGTTTCAGTGCGTTTCAAGGCAAGATAACCATTCCAATAGCTTGCCAAGGTCACCAGGGATCTATTCCAATCAAAACCACAACCTCTAACATCAAGAATCGGTAGAACGAAACCGTCCTGTTCTTAATATTTCTCATATTCGTGTTTTGATTTATACGTATCATCTATGCATTTTTCTTGTTGTTTTGCACTAATATGAACATTCTAAAGCTGTTGATATCTTTTAATTGAACTAACATGCCCTGTACGAGAATCTGCCATGGAAATTTTCTAGGTTTTCCTAAGCTTAAAATTGGGGATTTGTTCATATGGAAAAATTGGACAGCAAGGCCTATACCATTGAACTCGTGACCTTCAGACGAATCCAATAATCATGTCGCGCTCAATTTATGATGAGCCATATCCTAATCGCTATTATTGTGTGTTGTAGTTAGTGGGGGTTCAAAACCCCCGCTATTTGATTTTCGTTGCAGGTATAACATGGAGAAGAAGCCTGCGTGTCCTGAGACTATTGGGCTATTCAAAATTGGCGCGCATATTTTTGGTTCAAACCATTAACTTTTATCTTTTCTTATAATATTCATATTCCATTAATCTCACAAACGAACGCATTTGGCTAAGCGGTTGATGCGTTGTCTTGCAAACAATGGGACCTGGGTTCGATTCCCAGGTCCCTATATTCCTCTATATTTTTTACATTTACATGTTCAGGTGATTACCACACTCAATGGAGTACCATGGGCCACAACGCTTGTGCCTGCCACGCGCCAGGGAGATTCATCTAATGGTCAGATCATGCAATCCACCATGTACCCTCAGTCAACCATGTGCATACAAGCCAGAAAAGTCAAAAAGGGCCTCCTTCAAATGGGCCAAATTACTATGAACAAACCTCCAATTTGGGTCAACACCCCCATCTGTTTGTATTTTCTTCCCTTCTTTTTTTTTCTTTTCTATTATTTATTTTGATTATATTATTTGTTTTGTTTAATTCCAAATTAATTCTTTAATAAATACAAAAAATCAGAAAAAAGTCAAAATAAAAAAATATGTTTTAATATTTAATTTATAAATAGTTTTTTTTTGTAAATAAATTTAATAACTAATTAGTGTAATTCTAGGTTTAACTTTAATATTTCTTTAATAAACTAAAAAAGGTAGAAATTAGGGTTTTTATACTTTTATTCCTTTTTTTTTCTTTTTCACCATATTTAATTATTAATTATTTTTGTAAATAAATTTATCATTAAATAATTAGGTTAAAACTAGGTCAAACTTAAATATTTTTTTAATAATTAAAATGTTTATAATTAGGGTTTTAATTCCATTAATTTTCTTAATTTCATAAAGTACAAAAAATATCAAAAAAAATAAGTCTTTTCCCTTTATTTAATTTAATTAATGTCATAATTTCAATTTAATTTCTTTAAAAGGGTCCAACGCCCTCGCTTTCGATTATAATTTCGTTTCGCGCGCTTATTTTATTTCTTTATTTCATGTACTTGCCCCAAAGCCTTGTAATAGATTAATTAGGATATTTATCTTTCCGCGTTTTTATTTTATTCAAATCGGGTCTTGGATTAATTTGGCGATGTAGACCCGCGCCTTTGTAATAGCGTAGGACTTTTAAATTCCGCATCTTTTGACTGTTAATAACTTGCATGAAAGAATGAATGCCAAAAATAAAAACAAAGCGTAGAACACCAATGCATGAACAAGACAAATATAACTGAAAATGACACACAAATCACACACCACCCCTAGGGTACGTCTCACTGTTGCCTTGCCCCTCGAAACGTGGTCGTCGAGTAGAGGATGTTTTAGTAAGTCCTCTTGTCCATGAACATGGCATGAGGGTAGCTTCTAAGGTGTCTTCCTATTGCTCTGGTGACCACAATGTCCCGAACCCTCGAATTGACCCGAACACCTCCAACGG